TAGTTTAAATAAATACGATAGCTGTAATTCACCCTAAGTCTTTAGAAAGAAAGGACTTTGTTTTGGCAAGGTGCTCCAATGTATTCCCTCTCATATTTCTGTTGTGTAAGTGGCCATATTGAAGACAGAAAGAGAATGGTTTATAACTCAAACAGCACCTTATTTAGATATTAGACAAACAACCCCAAATATCAGGAAAATAAGTGAGGTTTTGTCTTCCTTCATAAGAGTTTTACCTGAACCCCTTGATGTAGGCTGAACTTTCTTATAAGCAGATGTAATGTAGACTGTTGCATTTAAACGCATCATTTTCTTTTTCTTGGAAATACATCAGTAAGTTACTCAGATGAAATATGTGCCTAAAAACACAATAGCAAATGCTATACATATTTGAAAATGTTATTGTTGTCCATAATTTTAAGTCCTAAGGAAATATAATCAGATGGACAGGACCAGTAAATGTGTATATTTGAGAAAGCCTCTCAACATTACCATAAACTCAAGGAGAAAGTGGTAAAAGCTGTATTCATTGACTGTCAAAAATGCAGTTCACTAATTGAGTGAATGTCATTATGCTACATGTGTTACTCAACCAATTGTTGTCATTTTGGGAATAGACATGGCTCTTCTGTTTTTGAAGATACAGCCTAAAAAACAAAAAGCCAGAAGTCAGCTGTTGTCAGGTTCAAAGTTTAGTGCTTGAAGCAGCTACTGCATTGACCAGATTTATAATTGGTTGCGTTTCATGCATTAGGGCCTTCATATTTAGACATAGGAAGTGTTTATCAAAAGGGAAAAGGGAGCACAGTTTGAGTTGTCTTTGGTTGTAGGATTTTTAAAAATTTGAATTATTGAAATTATATTATTAAGAAGCATAGTCTTTGTTTATACCCTAAGATCTCTGTCACATCAGCTGTTGTTATACATAAGGTTAAAAATAATGACTGATTTCTAGATAGTGCCTCAATTCATCTTTAAAAGCTTTTTATGATTATTTTTAGCCCTCAGCTGTACTATTACTAAATCACCATGACAGTAAAGATCCCCTCTGATTCTCTAGAGAAGTGATACTAATAAAACAAAACAAAAAAGCCCCGAGTTTATATACAGACACAATGATGACACTGCAGATGTCGAATGTGGTGCATTGTTAATTAGAAATTGCTTTTATGATAGAAAATTGGGAAGAATTAGAAACAGTGTGCAAATCCTTTTTTAAAAGCAGGTTTTTTAAAATTTTAAAGAATTTTTTTCCTTTTATTTATTTTTTTATTTCATTTTCTTCCATACATTCAATCACATTATTATTTGTCTTACAAAATGGATATTTCAACAGGTGAACATTTCTCCCTAGTTCTGTTGATAAAACTACAACATATCTTCAACGTAAAATACCACACCTCTTTGTGTCATTAATGCTTTGCCTCCCTGTCCCTCCCCCAAATGTCCTTCCTCAGACCCTCCTCTTTTGACAGTTTATATACTATAACATTTCCTGATCATTTTTATTTATTATTTTATGTAGCAAAAAGTTTTAAACACAAGGTCTTACTGTATTGCAGTCTTTGTCCCTCAACTTCTTGCTACGGTATCCAAGCTAGCTTCAAACTCATAATTGTCTAGCCTTAGCCTTTTGGGTTGCTGGTGTTAAAGGTTTGTGTCAGGGTTGGACAGGGTGTTGAACCTGGGCCTCCCATGTGATCCCAGATTGCAGAGTGTAGTATCTCAGTAGTTACAACACTGCAACTAGGCCCATAATAGTTTTTAAATAAAGAAGAAATATATAGGTATCTCACTATAAGCTATTTCCCCCTAAAGTATTAAATAATAGCAAAATACATATATTTAATAGTAAGATGACTTCTTTAATATCAGTAAGATGATTTTTAGCACATCTACATCTGTAATCAATCAAGGTTTTGGTGGACCAGGAAGAATGTTGTGGGTCTCCCTGTTGGAGAAACACCAGTTCATGTAGGATGAACACATGCCTCAACCTGTTGACCAATTATCAGTAAGGTGACATACCAAAAAAATTCCATATGGAGCAAGCAATAATCAGATTAAAAAGAAATAGTAGCAAAACATCTTTTGGGTTATAATAGAAAAGAACATATGGTAAGAATTGTCTTAATTTCATGAGGCACGTCTTCATGTTTTTTTCTTTTAAAGCTGATTTATTTAAACTTTATCTTATGTAAATACAGCATGTAGACAGAAAGGTTGGGAAACTCAAAAGACCAGCATAGTAAGCTATAAAGCCATGAGACTGTCAAAAATGGGACTCATTAAATAAGTGAAAGCCATTGTGTTACATTTGTTGACGCAGGTCAAGAAATAAAACATTGCCAGTGGACCAGCAGTTAGCATAATGGCTATGTTGCTCGACTCCCACATAGTCGACCGTGGTTCAAGTCCCGGACCCGGTGGCTTAAACTCACTCCAGGCGTGTGTGCGTGCATGCCCAAGATCCTGAGAGGAGAGTAAAGGAGAAGGGATTGCGGTGTGGCCATTCCCCCCGGGGGGCGGGGGGGAGTGATTTCTCGCTTTCTGTTTCTCTGTCTCTCTCTGTCTGTCTGGCGAGTGCACGCGCCCTAGAGCAAAAACCTCTCAAAAAAAAAAAAAAAGACATTGACA